TCTTTTAAAAAGGAAAGGTCACTTTCTCTCAGTTGCTGCAAGAATGATTCTTGGTATGAAAACTCTATAACCAATATTGTTTCCTCCAAGTATTTTGTCTTCAATAATTCTATTATATAACTGAGTAATAACTAATCTAGTTCCATTGCATAGACCCAAATATTGGTTTAAATTTCGTAACAACATAATTAGCATTCCTATTTTTAAAGTCAAGTTATGTGGAAGCAGACCATTGAAATCTAGTTTGTTAAAAAATTCAACAGGATATGATGTCTCTAAATTTTCAATATTCCCATTAGAAGAACACAATGAATCATAGCTTAGAAACACATGTTATTCTCCAAGTAACAAATCAATTATATTATTGTTTATATCTGTAACAGTGGTGTTTCAATGTGTTATGATAGCACGTTCTCTTTAATAATCAAACTTGTTAAAAGAAAATTCAAAATTGGGATAAGTTGCCAAAAAAATATATAGAAGAAATTGGATTTTCAGAAGCATGAACTATTAAATCTTCAGGTTTTTGAATCAAAGATGTGTCTGCATCATTAAAATTATTTTCATCGCTTATATCATTAATTGCTGCATCACCAATTTGTAAAAGCCAATCTGCAAAATCACTGATTTTTTCTTTTCCACAATGCTAATGCCATTTTTTAATAATCTCATATTTTCTTTTAAACGGAAAATTGTAAATTGTGACCATAAATACGAATTGTTTAAAGAAGCATTTATTATATCTTTTTTGGTTCCTTCAGGTATAACATGTAATATTTGTCGAAAATCACCACCTAATAAAAGAGGTTTACCACCTAAGACATATTGTTTTCTGGACTATATAAATGTGATAAAACGTCAGAAAGTGATTTATGCAATGCTTTAAAGCAATGTTTATGATTCATAGGTGCTTCATCCCATATAATTAAATTTGTTTTTTCAATTAATGTAGCAAATTGTGTTTTCATTTTTATTGCACAAATTGAAGAATCAGTAACAACCAAGGATATTTTAAATCTAACATCCTTTTAGGTTTTAATTCTCTTTCACACAACCCCTTTTAGCCAAATTTCATCTATAAAAATTTCTTAAAGACAAATTTACCCTTATTATTAGTTACATAAGAAAAATGAAAAATACGTAAATTAATGTTTATGAAGGAATAGAAAAATAAAAACAATAATAAAAATAAAAAATCTCTAGCAACCAACCATCCCCTCGATAAAGCACCCATCTCCCCCCACTGCTTTGCCATGGCTTCCGGTAAATTCATTTCACACACGTAGCTTTGTCCATAATTGGGCCTCTTTCCTTCTCTTTCTCTCTTTAGCTACTTCTGTGGTCCGTCTGTCCCTCCCTCCCTTTAAATACACGTCCGACAATTGATATCCCTTTGATTTTCTATCAAGAATTGTACCCTTTACATTTACTATTTTTGCATCAACAATGTTATCAGCTGAAAGCCCATATTTTCTCATCATGTTACCATAACCACACCTCCTCTAAAATGCCCACCACCACCAATTGTAGGACAGACCCCAGCAGGGAAGCCATGATACTTGCTTTTCTTAAAAGTTGCATAAAATTTTCACCAAGTATAGCCCCGGATTGAACCCATGCACCTTCATTTGCTAGATCGACGTTGATGGACCGGAGCTTAAAATTGTCGAGAAGGATGAAATCTTTTGAATCTTTGGATGCATAGGAGACGCCTTCATAGTCATGTCTGCCACTTCTAATTTTAATTTCCAAGCCAAGGGTTTTGGCACATATGAGTGTGGCTTGAACATGGGTGCTTGGCTGCAATAATTACGAGCGGTTTCGGGATTGTGGGAGTCAGAAATATGGGATTTCTCACATATGACTGCAGAACAGATGAAAAAGAGGCACATTTGGGGGTGAAAAAGCGTCAAGAGATTGGACTCGAGGGATGAGAATGATTTGAAAGGCGTTGAAGAAAATTATATTCAAATGAGGATGAATTGGTACATGACACTGATATCACACAAAAGATTGAAAATGCTGCACAGAATAGTATTGCATATTCTAAGGCCTTCATCTTTTTGTGAGTCGTTTATGTTTCTGGTCCTCTCAAGAGAAGAGTGCCTTTAAAGAGGAAGAAGCAATTACAATGGTAATTAAGGAATTTACGGTAGTTTAATTTTTGTAAATGTTTGAAGAAATTGTGGTGAAAAATGAAAATTCATAGAGAGAGAGAGAGACATAGGTAGCTAGAACTCTGCCGTTTTGATTATAATTTTTTTTAATATTCAATATTTTAATTTAATATTGTTTTTCTGTATATTTATGAAGATTTTCTTATTTAACAAAATAGCTATTTTTTTAATTATAAGGGTAAATTAGTAAATTCGTTAGCAGATTTTTTACTTAAGGGGCTATATGAAAGGAAATTAAAATCTCAAGGGGTACTAGTGTAATGTCTCAAACGTAAAAGGGTTTTGTGAAAACTCGATGAACCTCAAGGGTGTTAGTGTAATTAACCTTGAATTCATACATACAAAAGCAATGTAATTAACCTTGAATTCATACATACAAAAGCAATGTACCCACCAACTTAGACCAAAAATAATGTATGTACCCATAACATAAATAGCATACGGGTACATACCGAATTTACAAGAAAACTCATGGGTACATTTAGAAACTCAAGGAAAAGAATGTATATCATAACAAATTGTTTTATAGACATGCATATGTGGGTATATAAAATGCAGCAACCTTAAAAACCATTTTACATAATATTCTCCAAAAATTTTGTACCCATATATTTATGTAAAACGAATTTGAACCAACCAAAACATACTATAGCAATAGATATATTAGAACGAAACATGTAGATTAAAAATGTACCCATGGATCACTACAACATAATTGGCCTTTTGCGGCACGCAAAGAGTGCCGTAAACGGTTATTCACAACATGAGCCCCCAAACAGTAAAAGCCCATGTCGTAAAAGATGTTTTGACAAATACGACGTACTCTGATAGTCGTGAATAATTTAAGTAAAACACACCATAAATGTTCTTAAGGTGTGTCCTAAGCGCCTTAATTGGTATTAGTTACAACGTTAATAGGGTGTCGTAATATTGCGAAAACAATTATGGCATACCTGTGCCGTAATTTATATTTGATACAACGTTTGTTGAGTGTCGTAATCTTGCAAAGACAGTTACAGCATACATCTATTTTTAGCATATCATTTTTAGACAGACCTCACTTCACAGCATCTAAACTGATATTGTAAGAAATACAATAGAAGGATAACAATATTGATCATAAACATATTAAACTCCAAATACTTCAGATTAATTAGTAGAAACTGTCAATTACAAAACAATTCTAAGTTTGGACATAAACAAAAAATCTGAATTGTTTTGTTCCTTTTACAACTGATGCAGATTCTATAGTAATTATGCCTACAAAGCAGCATCAAACCAAAAAACCGATCTCCCAAGCACATCCTCCATGTCCATAGAGCAACCAATTTGATCACAAAACAGCGCCATACCAACAAAAAAACAAAGAAATTCCTTAAGAAGTGCTGGGCTAATTCTCAAATCCTTAGGAAACTATTATTAAATAAGTGTATATAAATTATACCAAAGCAACCCAATCAAATTATCATTTTTATTATTTCATATATACACAAACAGCTTCTATGGTGGTGCTAGATATATCTAACCAAATTGATACTAGGAAGTTCAAGTAAATAAAGAAATTGACAATACAATAACAATAGACTCACAATCGATTTTAACAATGAAACTAAATCCGTTCTACCCTATTCAAACCTTTAGTTCATGAATCATGATCCTTCTCTTTCATTTTTTTAATTGTATCTCACTCACTTTTTCATAATTTTGTTGCTGAAGGCCCTAAGAATTTCTATGTTGTCCTACATCTGTCTTAATATCAAAATATTTGAAAATTATCACACTACGTACCATTTAGCAGTTATAAATAAGTTGGTGGACCAAAGGGAAGGTGTCTTATAATCAAACCATCTGGTACACCACGATGTTTCAATGTTTTCAGATATAACCTGCAGGATTTGAAAAAAACATAGAAATCAGTAGATGTGCAACTATGGAAAAGGACCGAAGCATCATAACTTTTAACAGAGTCAACGATCATTTCTAGTGTCTAGTTAGATTGAAAATGGCAGAGCTTTTAACAGAGTCAATGAGCATTAATAGTTAGAAGGCTCATTGAAAAAGTGTATCAACCTCGCCACCACGATTCATTTGTAGCGCACTGGGAAAGACAAGTTTCAGTTCTTGTGACAGTATCAACATGCGCCTCAGGAGCTGCAACCTGTGTGTCAGTAGATGCCTCACTTGGTAGATCATTACCCTGTGATTTGATGCGTCACCAAAACTGATTTCACAAATATTCAATATGATCCCAATGTTATTAAATCGCTAATCTGATTTTTCATAAAAAGATGCACCAATTCTGTCAGTGCTCTGACCTGATTAGTTAAATTGTGCACCTTTTCATCCATTTGGTGATTGCGCAATTTTTGTTGTGAAAATATTCCAAGCTTTGTAGATGGAACACCACCTCCAACTCCTCTTGCACGGCCATGTCACTCAGCACCAAAAACTTTGGAAAGAACGTCACCTCGAAAACCAGATGATGATCCATTTCCATATTGCTTAATTTTTTCCAAACGTTGCACATCAAAGTTAAGACCTCATCAGTCATTGCATATCAACAAACAAGAAGAAATAAATGGTTAAAAATTACTTACAATAGTCTCTGCAGCAAGCAAATTGGATGGTCCTTCTTAGTATGTGATGCCATCCAAACATCACCTCTAGAAACTAGAGAAGGGTCTACACTTTTTCTTTTCTACAAAATAGAAATATAAATGTAGTAAACACACAGTAGAACACAGAAAAAAATTAGTAAATTGTTCTTGTCCTGTAGAAAAGAAGGCACTAGAATGAAATGTAATTACGAAATCCTCCGCCAACCTAGCATATCCTTTGCGACTAATGTGTGCGGGAGTTGCTTAGACTTCATCTCTCTGAATGTTTCGCTTTTGTCCTATCAAAAGGAAACCAATGATTCATATCACGTATCAATTAGCTAGCATGTACCAAATCTATCTTCAAACTAAATTAACATGCAATCAAGATAGAATCATACACATGTTTAACTAACACCAAATTCTTGTGTAGACAGGCTTGGTGTTGAAATAGACCTTTAACTACTATCAATTTGATTTCTCTGGCCCAATTTTGAACTCAAAAGAAGATAACTAATCTTAGAAATAAAACAAAAGGAAAATGAGCTTACACTTTGCAAGGAAAGTCTTCCAATCTTGAATTAATTTGACATTATTTGGTTTTAGTCGAAGCCTTGCTTTCCGATTTCTTGCTTCTCTTATGGACTTGAGAACTACTGATTTATGTGATCCGCAAACATTATTCATCCTTTCAAAACAATATGTTCTTTGCCAATCTTCACTTAATACCAATTTATTCTGTGATTTGATAAAATATCCATAACATTTACCAAAAAATATATATTAACACAAGTAAAATTTATAAACTATAAATTGTTCACCTTGAAGTAGAGGGATCAGAATTGACTTATCTCCATATTGCCTTGATTGCTTGCCATAGGATGTCCTTTGTTTTCTTAGGAACATCCTTCCAAGTATCAAATGTTATAGGGACAACCTCTCAGCCCATGTAAGAAGATAAGTCAATAGATCCGTCATCAATAAACTGGCCGTTTTCATTCCATTCAATCTCAATTTGTTGACCATCATTTGTGGAAATTGTCTTCATTCTAGTAGGACCCCTCTTTCTTTTAGTTTGATTCGACTCCTCTGTAAATGGGCCATCTGGTACTTCTTCGTCCTCTTCTTGTAAGATCTCAGGTGCAATATCAACATAATGTTCTTTAGAGCGGCCTGAATGCTGCGATCTTTTCTTTCTTGGAAAAATCATCCTCAACTAATGAACCTGGAAAACAAATACTGATATTACATATTTAACAGAATTTTGTTATAGAAACTATTGTTATACTAATGATTATAAAGAATTAAAAACTGTCTATACTCATGATTATAAAGAATTGAAAACTGTACAGTCAACGATGCTGCCCTTAAATTAGTGAGAGTCATGTGTATTTCATACATGAATCATATCCATGTAATGCACTCCACAAATTTATAAAGGAAAAAGAATCTTGGGTAATTTGGACATGTAATCAAAATTATGTATAAATATGGAACTAAAATTACGCATCAATACATGCTGATTTTTCAGTATTGTACGTATGAGAGTAAACAATGAAAGTATAAAAGCGATAAACACCCCTTCAAAAGAAAAATATAAATGTCAACAGCACCCTGCTACTAGGGCTCTACAACTTTGTCTCGGCCATCTTATCAACAAAACATAATCCACATAAGAACGATTGACTAGTGTAATTGAAACACACTAGAGTCTTAAAAAGAAGAGGCTAGCCACCACCAGTAACATGGCATCTAAAAAAAAATCCTTCTTTTGAGCATATAAAGATCTTTATGAAGAATGTAATGGGTAAAAAAATTTTGACTTCAAATGGCAGGCATTCACATATAAGTAATTAAAAGTAAAAGGATTTACCTTTACATAAAATGACTTGGACTTTGTACTCTTCGGGATCCATCCACTTCGTAGATTACCACTTTGTAGATAACTACTCATCTCAGGGCATCCACCAGTTTGCTACAACCAAAACACAAAACCAACCAAAATACCATAAAATTTCTGTAAGAACTACATATAACCTGAAAGAGTTATCTCCACTATCAAAGACTGAAAAATAGTCAGTCAATGCACATATATTCATGCAAATATTTTTTGGAATATCAAGTCTCTGTATTACAGAAGTTTGTTATAGAAAATATCGTTAACTCATGATTATAAAGAATTAAAACCTGTCTACTCATGATTATAAAGAATTGAAAACTGTACAGTCAACGATGCAGCCCTTAAATTAGTGAGAGTCATGTGTATTTCATACATGAATCATATCCATGTAATGCACTCCACAAATTTGTAAAGGAAAAAGAATCTTGGGTAATTTGGACATGTAATCAAAATTATGTATAAATATGGAACTAAAATTACACGTCAATACATGCTGATTTTTCAGTATTGTACGTATGAGAGTAAACAATGAAAGTATAAAAGCGATAAACGCCCCTTCAAAAGAAAAATATAAATGTCAACAGCACCCTGCTACGAGGGCTCTACAACTTTGTCTCGGCCATCTTATCAACAAAACATAATCCACATAAGAACGATTGACTAGTGTAATTGAAACACACTAGCGGCTTAAAAAGAAGAGGCTAGCCACCACCAGTAACATGGCATCTAAAAAAAAATCCTTCTTTTGAGCATATAAAGATCTTTATGAAGAATGTAATGGCTAAAAGAATTTTGACTTCAAATGGCAGGCATTCACATATAAGTAATTAAAAGTAAAAGGATTTACCTTTACATAAAATGACTTGGACTTTGTACTCTTCAGGATCCATCCACTTCGTAAATTACCACTTTGAAGATAACTACTCATCTCAGGGCATCCACCAGTTTGCCACAACCAAAACACAAAACCAACCAAAATACCATAAAATTTCTGTAAGAACTACATATAACCTGAAAGAGTTATCTGCACTATCAAAGACTGAAAAATAGTCAGTCTCTGCATTACAGAGTTCTGAAATAATGATAAACTAGTTTCAATCTTTGAAGTCATCTCTCTAAAAAGGATGGACCAAACCATCAATAACAGCGGCAATTACAAACCTCGGAATTGCCACACCGGGGTATTGCTTGATGTCGTGCAAAGACTCACAATCGATTCTAACTATAAAGCCATAGCAACATTTTGATTGCAGTTTCCCAAAAATCAAAGTTCAAAGTAATTAAAATTCAGAAAGTGGATTAATCATCCTCAAACCCAGGCAACCAAGAAAACAATTACAAACCTAACTGAGATTCTCAACCAAATTCATTACCTAAAATCCCTTAAAATTACAATGATAGAACAAATCTAAGAAAGCACCATAAAGTTGAGACTAAACAAAAATCTAAAGGGGACAGGATAGGGTTGATACAGATTGAGAGCATACCTAACGTTTTGGAGAACGAAATGCCGAAAAGCACCCTGTATTGGGGATTTCAGATCTTCAATGGCGGGGCACTTCGACGGTGACGGAAAGCAGACGGGCGACGGTGACGACGAGCAGACGAATCGACGGCGATGACGAGCATATAGAGCGACGGCGAGCAGGTGGAGCGAGATCGATGGAGAGGAGAGAGTTACGATGTCAGAGAGAAGGGAAGGGGGTGGGCTCTCGACAATTAATATTGGGTACATGAAAATGCAATTGCAATGTTTCTCTTTCAAGTTTACCAAGAAAATACAAACCTTTTAAGATTTGAGGGAAATTTGAAAAAAATAAATAAATAACCCAAAAAAAGAAGCGGCTAAATAAAAAAGAAAAGGCGCGAGAATGAATTTGTGCGCGGGCTTCTTTACCACAAACTTCTGTGCCATTATTTACGACGTGTTATTTGCGCAATAAAAGGTACGAACCCAAATATATAGAAAGTCCACGTTATGACATAACGTAAAGTCTTAAAAAAATAAAAAATAAATAAAGTGCGTCATATAAATTGTCAAATACGATGCACAACGTTTAAGTCGTGCATAATTTTATTTACAACTTGCACAAAAGTAACGCTGTGAATAACAGATTATGCATGAGTATTATGACATGATCTTTATAAATGTTATGAATAATATCATTTAAGGCATATCAATATTATACGTCGTATATTTCAAATCGTAAAAGACCCAAACTATTGTAGTGGATATAAGTGTAGCCAACCAGACATTGAATAATCAAGACTAATATATAATAATAAAAGGAAAAAGAAAAATATAAAGAACAAGAGAAGATGACTTCAGAATGGTACAGTTTTGACATAGCCCGCTCACTCTACAATCTCTGCATGTTTGAATTAACCAGATTCTTTGAGAAAGCGATGCCTGCATTGCCTTGCCTATGCCACACAAATCTCACAGGCCGACAAAACCATTGATGCTAATTTGTATTGTAATCACAATAGGTTTATTCAACATATATGCATTGGATCAATTCAGGAATGGAGAAAAAATGGAGAAAATTGGGTTTGGTGTTGTAGATTCCGGATGTGCATAAGGGAATAAGAAGAATGGAGGAGTTCAAATGGATTTTCCTTGTTTTAAACTTACTCATATAGTTTATTTTGCCTTAAATGCAGAAATGGATGAGATTTCATTTATTATGACATGTAATATTTTAAATACTAAAATGATGGCATAGAATAAGTCAAGGGACCTTGATCTAAAATAGAAAAATAATAAGGTTTCAATTAATGTAATATGAAAATAAGGGATAAGAACCTAATTTTTCCGAAAATCTATATGTACTATAGAAATAATGGATGACATAAGAGACAATGAGCTATTTATAAATATTTTACTTTATCCTTATTTTTATCTGACAATTTTTTGTTTTTTCATTGAATCTGTTCAATTTTACTATGTTAATGTTTTCATTGGTTTGGATTGCATTGTGCAATTCAATCTTTTTTTCTTATTGAGATTCCGGTTTGTTTGGTAACTACTTTTAATCTACTTCCTTTGAGTTTTCACTTTTTAGTTCTCAGTCTTTATTTTTTATTTTAACTGAGAGTATTTACCAAACAAGATTTAGTTTTCAGTTTTCAAAAAAGTGAAAAATGAAAACTAAAAGCTGAAAACGAAATGGTTATCAAACGGTCCCTTATTCAATGTAAATATTACTATACGTCTACATAATTGCATATACATTTTACTCTAATTCAGCAATAGCTTCTAGCTCTAGGCGTCTAGCATTTCTAGATGTAGGACCAGTAGGCACAAAGGGATTAGGCGGCATGCTCAAGCTTTCTCCTCCTCCTTCCAACATCTGAACAACTGTTTTCATGGAAGGACGATCCGACGGGTGCCACTGGATACACCATAGCCCTATAATTGCAAGTTTCTTTGGAATTTTACCATCTCCTTCTTCTCCAATATGGATTCGTAGGTCATCCCCTTCCTCTAGAAGATTATAAATCCACTGTGGATAGTAAATTTCATTTGTAGTGTTATCCGTGATTGAACCAATATTCTTCCTTCCTCCTACCATCTCAAGTAGCAGCATTCCATAGCTATAGACATCTGCCTTGTAAGACACATTTCCAAAATTCCTGGAGAACACTTCGGGTGCAATGTAGCCCATGGTCCCCTTAGCTGTAGTCATGGACACCAAGCTTTGATCCTTGGAACATAACTTGGCCAAACCAAAATCAGAAATTTTTGGAGTGAAGTTTTGGTCTAGCAAAACATTATGGGGTTTGATGTCGAAATGCAGGATTCGTAGATCGCATCCCTGGTGAAGATATTCAATTCCTTTGGCTATGCCTAGGGCAATATCTTGCAGCTTATCCCAACCAAGAAATGAATTCTTACTATCTGCAGATGAAATGAAATCCTGCAGGGAACCATTGGGGAAGAACTCGTAAACAAGAGCTCGTGCAAATCCATCAGCACAAAATCCAACCAAGCGAGCCACGTTGACATGGTGGATATGACCCATCGTTCGCACTTCATTTACGAACTCTTCCCCATCTCCCTTGGAACTGTTGAGGACTTTGACAGCAATAAGGAATTCAGAAGAGAGCATTCCCTTGAAGACAGTTCCATAGGCTCCTTCGCCTAACTTGTCCTTGAATTGATTTGTAATCCTCTTAATATCTGCGTACGAATACCTGCTTGGTTTGAGTGCTTTGTAGTCCTCCAAGAATCTTTCAATTCTTAATCGACTCTCTTTCTCCTTTCTATCAGCGCTATATACCCGATATGCTGCAATCATCAGTAGAACAAGAAGCAAGGCACCCAGGATTCCACCTGTAAGCACTTTTTTCCATGTGTTGCCTGTAGAAGATCATTGCAAATTTAAACGAGACTGTCAGGTAATGTTCCTAGTAAAAATGGATTGGACAACATATTTTAAATAATAATTACTAAGACATAAATGTAAAGATGTTTAAAACTAGCAATGAATATATATGTTATCCTTACTTGGTTTCCTCCAGGGAAGACATTTAATTTCACTGTTGATGCCATTGTTCTGCCATCCACACCTCTTTCCCTCTCCACATTTTCTGCAATTTGGTATAGACCATTTGAAACGAAGAACACCATATCCATTGTCTCCTGGAACTGATAAAACATCATACATTTTTGTACAAGGTTGTAGAATCTGGAAGAGAATTTCACAATTAAAGAGAGAATCAGTGGCATAAGTTCTCTTGCCACGGTCGCCGAGGCAGGGGACTTGATACACATCCGTATCTCGGCTTGCAACAGAAGTAGGACAACTGAATAAGGTAACGTTACTCATGTAACCGACTGACATGTTGAAGGGAGAGGGTGGCATGTTTGGGATTTCAACAGGCTTTAGCAGCAGGCAGTTACTTGGGAAATAGACTTGGATTTCCTGACGCTTGTAATCTATGTGTTTGACAAAAAATTTTATTAGTATTTGCTGCTCATGTCTCCCATTGCATTCAAGCCCAGGATTTCCACAATGATGTGTGCGCCTGATGTTCAATGGGAAATGGATAGCCCGGCCTTGATCATTGCCACAGTTAGATTCCGCGCACATATACTGGCTTGCTCCAACTAGTTTGAAGAAAACCAGTGTCAATATGCAAAAGGAAGAGACGATCAATTTCTGCATTTCTGAGATAATAATAAAAAAAATAATGCGCAGGGATTTTTCTTTTCTGTAATTGAGCAGAGATATGTACGTAGTAATTATACACTGTCCTCCATTAATGAAAAAGAGGTAGAGCATTATGATTACACAATTCTATCTTTGTCGTCGACTGACTGTGTCAAACATCATTGACTGACTTTTCTCTGGATAGAAGTCCTCACTGCAACTTCACGGAAGGTGACTTAACACCACCAATATTATAATACTACTTGGGGTTTTCTCTCTCTCCTCTCTCTCTCTCTCCTTCCTATGGAAATAAGTGGAAGCAGATTCTTCACCTTAATTTTAGCCTTCCTACTTTGCTTTTGCAGTTTGGTATTGATCTGCTTTAAAATAAAAATTGCTTTTGGCAGTTGTGAAAAGGGTTGTCTTTCTTGATCTTAATTGAAAGTTCTATGATAAGGAAATTCTTTGTTTGGGTGGAAAAATTTAAAATTATTAAAAATTTTAAAATAACAGAAATTGAAATAATAAAATTTTATTTTCTAGAATTTATAAATTTTCTTGTTTGATTAACCTCAAAGAGGAATGAAATATGAATACATGTTTGTTATTTTTTAACTCTCACTTACTGAAATTTAGAAATGACACATATTTACATGAAATTTAAACATGAGAATTGAAGGTTCCAAATTCCAAGTTTTTTCTCACGCAGAAAGTCTAAATTTCTATGTTTATGAATCCAAACAAAGGAATTAATTGTGTAAATTTATAAATTCTGACTTTTGTCAAAATTCTAAGTTTATTGTCCTTATCCAAACATATTGTTACTATACCAATGCATGACCATGATAATAACATATCCAGTTAGGGTCTAGGATATTTCTCTTCACTTGTAAGTGAAATGTCTTATATTCGATTCTCACCAAAGGCGAATTGAACTATATTATTGCTAGCCCATTGTAAGGCTTAGGCCACTCCCTCACCCCCTTAATGTAGATAATATCGTTTATTCAAAAGGAAAAAAAATATATACAATTGTAGTGACAATAATTTTCATTTTTTCCCTATTTTCTTCCTTAGTATTTGTCATGCTTGTTTGAATGTATGAACAAAGATATATTGTGATATGCAAGAAATTTAAATAGTTAATTATGAAATATGTGACTTTCTGTTTTAACCAAAAGTTATACTCATACATGTAGACGCACAAGGTTTTTGAGGCGATGCAACAAAAAAACCAAATGAGGCAATAGTGAATAGAAAAATGAGAGGAACGTAATCAAGTATTGGTGTTTTAAATTGCATACCACTTTAACTACAAACCTCATTAAACCCAATCCCTATAAATCATTCACAATAGACGCACATTGGAAATTTTTTGCACACTTGCCCAATTCGTTGCTTTAATTTGTGGATAGCGGTCGGATAACGCTGAGGATGACAAAGATTTCAATTTTGCTATGTTGTGACCCATGTGGCCTTGGTGTTCACAAATCTTATCTTTTTCCTGGTAAGCGGAAACCCTTGGCGGCTTTTTGTGGCGGCAACGACGATGTGACGGGTGGCTCTAGCTTGCCGTGGTATTTCCTCTGCCATCCTAAGCACTAATCCTTTGTTGTCCTTGCCACGGACACAACCTCATGGTTGTACAACCCACGTCTCTTGCCACATCTGTACTCGTGTCTTCCCTATGGACACGCATCTGGACACGTCATTGACTTTAGTTTAATTTTAAGTTTTTGTTTGTAGCGTCTTGAGCGGATTAAGTTAGTAAACCCTGTGTTGCTTCGGTGATCTGTTTGTGTCTCTTATGCGATTTATGTGGTCTCGTTGTCAATGGCTTTATATCAGGGTATCGGTGTGAGGATGTTGTGTCTGCTATCTTTGTTGCAATTTTACTTGGAACTCTTATTTGGTTTATTGTGGTTGTCGTAAAAGAGGTAGCCGTATAGGAGTTTAAAAGTATTTGCTTCTTGTGCGAAGTATCTTCCTATTCAAGAAATTGATCATTGGAGAAATTGTATCTTTTGACACCTCTTGTATTTGGTTGTTCTTAGTAATGAAACACTTTATCGCTTCTATCAAAAAAATAAATAAATAGACCACAATGTTATCAATCATGTTTTCTCTTCTACAACGTTTTTCTTTTGGTCTCAGCAAATGAACTGATACACTAAATCAGGAAGGAAAAAAAAGTTCTCCAAAATACTATATTTGTACAATCAACAGTTGGTTGTCAATGCAAAAGAGAGAACAATCTGGCATTAGTATCATGAGAAAATAATTAACACCAAAATCATCATGTTTAGTCTTGGCTATTGTTAACCTTCAAGAGGACAACATCTATAACAAGGAACTAACACCAATATCCATAAAATAAAATAAATGTTACAGATCCAACCAATACACAATTCAATTGGAAGGAAAAAAGCACAACAAACAGATGACTATCAGAAAATAAAAATAACTAGCAAAATTCACAACAGGCATAAAGAGTCTACCTGAAAATCTAAAATAATTCAAGAAAGAAGAGAGTAGAGGCGCTGATCCTAGAACAAAGCAAGAAGATGATGCACGAGCCGAAAATCTTGTCGAAGATTTGGAGAGTTAACAGAGTGAACAATGCAACCCTAAACCGTTATTAGGTTTTATCATTAAATTTAGCACCTTAATCGTAAAGTTTGGCTGTCGCAAGATTTCCCCGCAATGTATTTGTGATTCTCATCGTAGTTAGAATTTTGAAATTACACTTATTTAGACGAAATTAAAATTGGGAATCTTCATCCCCAATTTCTAACTTTTTCCTGTACAATTTGCCTTTGCTCTCACTACATGTTGCCGAACAAGAGAAAATTGCTTTCACATTCCTAGATTTTCGAGTTTAAATGAAATTCCGAGTTCTTTTTATTTTATTATTTTTTTTTACCATAACCAAATAGATAAATTGCAAATTCTAAAGGGATTTAGGCATATTGATGAAAAAATGGATCACAAAAAGTTATGAATAAGGGATTAGAACAGCATCGCATGAGCATTACAAAGAACACGCGAGAGTTAGTAACAACTTGTTTTTCGGCATGTTAAAAGGCCTAAGGAGAAGCAACTTGTTCTGTTGTTCACTAACTCACATCAACAACAATATTCATCCTCATCTTCATTTCTCAACAAACTCACATCATTTGGAAGCCCTTCCACTTAGAAACATAGACTTCTTTCTTTGTCATATATAGTTATGTAGAAATTTCATATCATATTCCAATTGAAAACTAGCACTCTCATTACCCCTAAAGACTTGAAATTGTAAATACAACACCATGACTTTTCTTCTAATCAAATATTGTTTCAATGACTACCACTTTCAAAATAAGACTTTCTTGCTTTTTTCTAAAGGAAAACTAACGAAAAGTTCAAAAAAAACTTTAGTTTTAATGAAAAATGACAAATTAAGGTGTAGTGCATAATAGTCAAGAAAGGTAAAAATGTGGTTTTTCGTTAAAAGTAAACAGTACCAGAAATGTTTTGTTAAAACTTCATTTTTCTAAATCACTATAACCTTTTTTTTTTTTTAGCTTCTAATGAATGTCTCGTCTCCCTTCAAGGTCATTTTTTCCTATTCAAACGCATCAATCAACATCCACATCCTCTTCAATAAATAGTTGATTTTTTCAAAGAAAAATACTCTTTCTCTCTCCTTATGTAAAGTCATATTTAACAAACATGACTGCATAAGAGGAAGAAAAATGACGTGTCAAACTCACAATCCTTTTGCAGATTGTTCAAATTTCATTCGTTCAACTTTTGTGCCCCTGCTCATTTTCCATGGAAATTTAATAAAAGAAGAATAATCTTTTGGACAATCGTTGCAATACAGAGAAAATTGTTTTCACATCCCTAGATTTTCGAGTTTAAATGAAATTCCAAGTTTTTTTTTTTACCATAACCAAATAGATAAATTGCAAAGGGAAGTGTTATTGCCACTCCAAAAATCTCATTCTACACTTCTCACAAGTGTATTTTTCTTTCCAGATATAGAAAGTTTGGAGTGTAAAATGATATTTTTGGAATGCCAATAACAATTCCCATTGCAAATTCTAAAGGGATTTTGGCATATTGATGAAAAAATGGATCAGAAAAGGTTATATATAAGGGATTAGAACGGCACCGCATGAGCATTACAAAGAGCACGTGAGAGGGATTTGCAAATGACTACTTAAAAGGAGTTAATATTATGTGCATTGGTGTGTATGCATCTAGAAACATGCATATACATTTTACTTAATGACTATAAGATTATAAAGGAAATTAGCTTAAGATTTTATCCCACTGCATATGAAGTTCGTAAGACTTTCCCTTGGGTCTAGTTAGATAAATTTTGTCATGACACTGTTCATCTTCTCTAGTTATCAACAATCGTACCGCATGTCTTAGTTCACCAATCAGTTACATTTATTAGTAACAACTTGTTTTCTGGTAATACCATGTTAAAAGGCCTAAGGAGAATCAACTTGTTCTGTTGTTCACTAACTCACATCAACAACAATATTCATCTTCATCTTCATTTCTCAACAAACTCACATCAATTGGAAGCCCTTCCACTTAGAAACTTAGACTTCTTTCTTTTTCATATACAGTTATGTAGAAATTTCATATCATATTTCAATTGGAAACTTGCACTCTCGTTACCCCTCAAGACTTGAATTGTAGATACAATACTATGACTTTTCTTCTAATCAAGTATTGTTTCAATGACTACCATTTTGAAAATGTGGCTTTCTTGCTTTTTTCTAAAGGAAAACAAACGAAAAGTTCAAAAAAACTTTAGTTTTAATAAAAAATGATAAATAAAGGTGTAGTGCATAATAGCCAGGAAAGGTAAAAATGTGGTCTTTCGTTAAAAATGAAAAGTATCAAGAATGTTTCGTTAAAACTTTATTTTTCTAAATCAATATAACTTTTTTTTTTTTTAGATTCTAATGAATGTCTCGTCTCCCTTCAAAGTCGTTTTTTCCTATTCAAATGACCCATCAATCAACATCTACATCCTCTTCAATAAATAGTTGATTTTTTCAAAGAAAAATACTCTTTCTCTCTCCTTATGTAAAGTCATATTTATTTTTGTGTTTTAA